CCTCACTCCGGAAAAGTCGCCGAGGGGCCCGGAGCCCGAATTGCCAACTTTGATGACTTACGCGCCCAAGAGGCTGCGGTTTGCGCGCGCAGATAAAAATCTACAACGCTACCTGACCCACGAGGTTCCTGCAATGCATCCGCCCTCGGCCCCTACATGCGACACACCACCTCAACGCACCCTCAATTCCGCCAGGCCCGCGGGCCCAGGGATCGCGAGGGAACGTCTGAAAAAATCGGTTGGGCAAGGCATGTTGGCCTCACCGTCAGGCTTGCGTCTGCCTTTGTCAAAGCCGCTCGGGGCCGATGCTTCTGAGCCACTCTGCTGGCTGAAGCCCCCCTTCCTGATGCGGACTGCCCGAACTGCCTCGGCTGGCCCGCCGTCGCCGTCGTCGTCGGGTGGGCGGAGCGGTCTGCCTGATAAGCCTACGCTGCGGAAGAACTGCACGAGCTCCTCCCAGGTCATCGGCTTCGTCAGCACGTCTGCTTCGTTGTCGTTCGTGGGGATCGGTTCAAACTCCTGACCTTCTGCTCGCGCCGCTGCTGCAAAGCCAAGTACCTGATCTCGATGTGTTTCATCTTGCCTGGCCCTCACTTCTTCATGAAATGCAGTGCGCTGATGCGGTCGCTGGGCAACACGGGCGTCGCGTTCTCGTGCCACTCGCTTATCACTGATGCCAGCCCGAGCGCTTCGGCTGCTCCGTTTTCCCACGCGCACAGCTTGCTTCCCGCTACGCCACAGGCCGCGTCGCCCCAGCGACGCGCCCACGATCTCACGTGCACGCGCAGGACTTCAGCACAGCGCCGCTAACTGAGATCTCGTCGCCCTTGTTGCCTGCCCAGTCTGCGTCTAGACCGCGCTGTAAGATCTGCCTGATGTGTTTGTCTGGTGTCAACGCCAGACGCGCGCCCCTGGCCCCTGCCGGGTAACTTGCCGTCTTCTTCAACCCACCTATGCCTCTCTGAATTAGTGCCGCCACGTCACGGCTAACCACTCCAACTCCGTGCTATATGTTAGCCCTGCGGCTTGACAATTGTAGCACATTTCCCCACGCGCATCTCGTGCGCGACGTGTCCTGCCGCGTTCAGGAGCTCGTCGTCGCCCTTCTGTCTAGCCTCGTTCTCCGTGTCCCAGACTGCTGGGGCCTCGCCGTCAGCAACCCGAGCTCCCGCAGTTCGTCCTCGGTCAGCGACGTCTGACCCTCGGCGGCATAGCCGCCCTCGACCTCGCGGACCTGCATGCTCGGGAAGCGCCCGGGTCGCCTGCGCCGCATTGCTCAGCCGCGTCCAAGAGTCGAAACTTCTCGCCCATGCCGCCAATACTTGGTCGCCCGACTCCCGGGGCCCTGCCACGAGGAAGACACCAGCGCGTCGCCCTGCCTCGACCTTATCTCGGGCCCTCATGGGGACGCAGGCGTCGACGCGGCCTCGATCAAGACCCATCTACTCCACCGCCACTGCGCCGCGAGCCTCGGATGCCTTGGGCGCCCCGTTGAGTCCCGGGAACGCGCGCAGCGCTTCCCGCGCGAAACCTGACGTTACCTGCTGGGGTCTCACTATCGGTTCCACTATCGATCTCACGATCGATCTCACGATCGATCGGGGCACCATCGGATCACCAAGGCGGGCGCCGCGGGGCACTGCGGGGCGCCGCTGGACAGGACACCGCGGGACACCGCGGGACTCCACCGGGACGCCGCGAGGCGGCACGGGAAACCACGGGACACCACGAGACACCACCGGGACACCACGGCGGGACACCGCGGGACACCATCGGGACAACGCGGGACACCACGGCGGGACACCCCCAGCCACCGCGCGCCCACCAGAGGGCTTGACTTTTGCATCCGATTTGCCCTAGCGACGGCGGAACCACCCCCCTCGCGCGCCTACGGCGAGACACCGCGGGACACCATCGGGGCGCCGCGAGACACCACGGCGGGACACCCCCAGCCACCGCGCGCCCACCCGATGGCCGCATTTTTGCATCCGAATCGCCCAGGCGGCGGCGGGATCACTCCTCTCACGCGCCTTCGCAGCTTCGCCTCGCCCGCACGCGCGGGGCGAACGCGGGGCCGAAACCGATTTCCTGGCGCGGGGCTCTCTCCTTCAACGGCGATCTCGCAGCCCGACCTCCGACTCCTGCTTCGGGCGGTCTTTCCAAGAGGACTCTGTCCTCCGTCAAGGGCGCCTGGAGAAGGCTCCGCTGCAATCGCCGAATGCCACCGCGTGGCCGCTCGCCTCCGCGTTGACCCGCGCAGCCTTTGGGCGTGGTAGTGACGGAGTGATGGCTGCGAAGTTCTCGTGCCCGCTGGTCCTCTGCTCGGATCCCTGGGTGATCCGCCCACTCTTCCTGCTGCCGTCGGCCTGACAGGCGACGACCCACATGCCAGTCAGGATGTCGCAGGTCGCCTCGGCGATCGAAATATGCTTCGCGATCTGCCTGACGTCGCCCGACCTTCTCGAGGCGCTCCGCCCCCTCGCCGTGGAAGTCGCCTCCGTTCGCGTAGACGCCGTCGCCCTCCACCGTCGGCTCCTCACGCATCTCGCCGACGGTGCAGATCGTAGCGATCCGCCACTTAGTCCTGGCCCGGCCACCGACGTCGCCTCCGCCCCCACCGCCTGAGCCGGCGTCGCCAGATCCACCAGGCGCCCAGGTCGCCGCGTCGAACAGGGTGCCCAGGCCATCCTGTTGAACAAGACCGGGCCCCAGCGCTCGGACCTGGCGACTCCCGTCGGGGCCCCAACGATGCGCTCGTCGGCCCTGGCATCTGCCCGGGCAGATGCCACCCAGCCACGGGAGCTCCAGTTCGTTGACTTGGGCCCCAGGCCGTCTGCAGATCATCGCTTCGCCAACTGCCGCGATCGGCTTCTGGCGCTTCTGCGCGCGCCCCTTATCGCGGGGCGCCTGGCCGCGCCCTCCCGCATCGCGCGCCCGTCGCAGAGCCAAGCGGCGCGGCGGGGAAGCCACGCGAGGAACGGGGAGTCCGATGCGAAGTGCTCGTTCCCCATCTTCTTCGATGCCGCCAACATGAGGGCCCTCACCGGCACCCCCAAAGTCTGGATGGCTCTCTCTACCCGTTCGTTGGCCTGGGAGTTGCACCTCTCCGCCTGCCTCGCCAGAGTGGCCTGGCAGACCCCGCCCTGCAGAACTCTGCTGCTCCCCCGGACTGCAATTCGACCGGCGAGCGTTCCAATTCAGCCGGCCACGACCCGGCCGAGGCTATCTCGCACAGGTCATCGCGACCGCCATTGATGATGGCTGCAATCCACGCGTCACACGTGGAGGCGTCGTTCCCGACCGCAAACTCGAAGTTGACTGGATCGCCCTCCTTTCCTGCCTGACCGCAATCGAAACTGATCAGCGCGATGATGGCGCCCATAACTTCTACACTCCTGTGCGCCACGTCATCGGCCGTCGCCTGCACGCAGACCTTTCACCAGGAGTATGCCGGGTAGTGCGTTCGCTCGCGCCTCTCACGCAATCTCCGCCGCACTCGCTTCACGCGGTCCTACGATGCCCTGCGCTACCACCCGGGATTCGCGGCGGATGCAATGGTCGGGTATCGCCGCTGACCCTTCCATGGGCGCATCGGCCAATGCATCCGCTGCTGGCGGCGCCTCCGCTGCCTGAACTAGTGGCCCACCTGCTGGCCCCACCTCCGCTGCCTGAGCTAGTAGTCCACAATATGCTGTGCTGGGTCCCACTGCCTGTGCTAGTGGTCCGCCTGTAAGCGCTCCCTCTACCGCATGGCAGCTATCCTCCTCTCCCGGTCGCGCTGCGGCAGCTGCTCCCATTGTTGCCGCGAGCGCGCCGTTCACCATCGAGCAGTCCAGGGCGCGCCCGCTCCTAGCCCAGCACTCGAGCGCAATCCCTGTCGACCTTTTTCACCTTGACAAGCCCCGCCGTCTCGTGTCGCAGAACTCCCGAATTGTCCGTCGTACCACGCCACTCGGTTGCCGCGCCTCACGCAGTACTTGCCAGTACTCATGATAGGCTGCTTCACGTCTGCCACCTGGAGTTATACGATTATCTCGCGGTCGCCTGCGATGCAAAGTGCCGCCGTCTTCTGGCCGTAGTGTTTCAGCCGGGCCGCCGTCTACCCGGCGCCGCCTGACCCGGGGGTCCAGGTGCCCCGACCTGGCTGGCTGAGGGCCCCACGGGTGCTGCCGCCGCACTGCCAAGTGAAACTGGGGCCCCCGCGACCACGCCCCTTGGGTCCTGTCTTGCCGTCCGCTTGGGGTGGACGCCAGCAGCCCCCTGCGCGGTGGCCCTTCACGCCTGCAATTGAAGCCGCCTTCGCCTCCATCGCCCCTGCCCCTTCTACCACCGTCGCCCTTGCCACCGCGGCCCCTGCCTCTGCCCAGGGCACGAGCCTTAGTAAGCGCGCCGACCTCGATGGAATTGGGGCCCCTGGGAGGTCTAGGTGGTGGGGGCAGATGCCTCTGGTGTGCGTGTGGCCTCTCTCTCTCGCTGCTGGGCCTCCCTCCGAGCAGCCCACGGACGTGGCGAACATCTGCAATTGGCAACACGATGGGAGCGCGAGGACTGATTCGGATGCGCGTGTGACCACGCTCCGCTTGGCCTCCCAGGAGCCCACTGAAATGGCGACAGGTTTTGCAAGTGGCATCATTCAACGACCGCCAGGTCTGAGGTGGATGCGCGTATGACCGCGCTCCTCTTGGCCTCCCAGGAGCCCACGGAAATGGCGACAGTTCCGCAGTTGGCAGCACCCAGGGAGGCGAGGTAGGAGGCAGAAGGCGGGAGGAGGGAGGTGGCGGGAGGAAGGAGGAGAGGAGCACCAATGCCCTACGAGGACCCAACACAAGAGGGTTGGGAAACAGCGGAGAGGAGTCGAAGTGGAAGCGAGAAGGAAATAGAGGAAGGAGCAGCAGTGATCTACTCAAGCCGAGGAGGACTGAGAACACAAAACTCAAGCGTGATGCTTGTTATCTCCTCGCCCCTCCCCCCGCTCGCCCTCGCTAGCCCGCCCACAGGACCGAAGCCATGTACACCCTGGCGTCCGACCGCATCAGCGAGAGCGCCTAGCGCAGGACGGACAAACGGCGATGACCATTACGACGACGACGACGACGACGACGACGACGACGACGACGACGACGACGACGACGACGACGACGACGACGACGACGACGGCCGCGGCGGCGGCGACAGCGACGACGACGACCGACGCCGTCTGGAGGCCCGCGGGGGCCCCCAGAGGGCCCCACAAGGGACCAGCGACGTCCAGACCTCAATCCTCGACCCCCGAGGCCGAGGCCGACGGCCACGACGACGACGACGACGACCACCACCACGACGACGACGACGACGACGACGACGACGACGACGACGACGACGACGACGACGACAGAGCGTTCGCTTCGGGCATGCTTTGGTGTTTCCAGGATTTCTCGTCGCCACGGCACTGCTGGAAGCCGCTCGAAAAACGCGGCCCAGATGGGCGCCAGGAGAGAGCTGGGGACTGAGTGATTGATCGGACGACGACGACGACGACGACGACGACGACGACGACGACGACGACGTATTCAGACGTATTCAGACGTATTCACACGGTGGCGCGGGTGGGCGCCCTGGCTCCGCCCACGCTGGGCAACCCACGAGCACTGCCCGCGGTCGCTCGGCCGCCCTGTCAGGCGGCCCACACCAGCCCCGCACCTGACACCACCGCCTCAGAACGCGACGACGACGACGACGGCGGCGGCTGCGGCGGCGACGACGACGACGACGACGACGACGACCACGACGAGGACCACCGCCACGACCACCACGACCACCACGACTGCGACCATGACAACTACGACCACGACCACGAAGACCACGACAACCACGACCAGCAGCACGACCCTCAAGACCACCACGACGGTGGCAGCCGCGGCGGCGGCGACGGCAACAACAACGGCGACCGACGCCGTCTGGGGGCCCGTGGAAGCCCCCCGAGAGCCCAACGGAGGGGCCAGGGACGTCCAGACCGCGTTCCTCGACTTTCTGGGCCGAGGCCCTCGCGCCCGGCGTCCTCCCGCAGGGGCGCGGGCGCGCGGGCCGAGGCACGGGCTGCCACCCCCGCCTTCTCGACGAAGTTGGGCGCGTCCTTGGCCCAGCTGGTCCTGGGCCGCCAGAGGGCCCTCCTCCTCCTCCTCCTTCTCATCCTCCTCCTCCTCCTCCTCCTCCTCCTCCTCCTCCTCCTCCGACTACTACGATAACTCTAAGCAACAACACATCACAAACAATGATGGAGGCAAGTGCCCAAATACGTCGAGGACGAAGCAGCCGACAGCAATATTACGGCGATACGTGTGCTACTGATGCCACTGCGCTTGTGACGATTGGTGCTCGCACTGCTGCTGATTGTCTGACTGCTGCAGCCCTTCCTTCACTCCTAACTTCTGCCCACCATCTTCATGACGTGGTCGGCACTGTCGTCGACGATCATCGTTGTCACCACCCACCCACCCACCCACCCACCCACCCACCCCTGGGAATTGATAAAAACAAGCCCCAAAACCACGCCTGTAGATGCGATACTGGGCATCGATGTGGAAAACATACCGGCTCTTCGCCTGGAAGTTCTGGTCGAGCACCATTGTGTTGGGGTACCTCCCAAGGAAGGCGGCCCACCCACTTCACCCTCATACATCTCCGTGCGCGGCATGGTATAGAGAGGGAGGATGAGGCCTCAATGAGTCCTCCCTACGTCAATTATGATGCTCCTCCTCCTCCTCCTCCTCCTCCTCCTCCTCCTCTTCCTCCTCCTCCTGCTCCTCCTTCTCCTCATCATCCTCATCCTCCTCCTTGTCCTCCTCCTCCTCCTCCTCCTCCTCCTCCTCCACCTCCTCCTTTCCCACCTAAACGGCATTTACCTGCGACTCCTCCCTCCTCCTCTCCTCTCCTCTCTCCTCCTCCTCCTCCTCCTCCTCCTCCTCCTCCTCCTCCTCCTCCTCCTCCTCCTCCTCCTCCTCCTGCTCCCCCTCCTCCTCATCCTCCTCCTCGTCCTCCTCCCTCTCCTCCTCCTCCTCCTCCTCCTCCTCCTCCTCCTCCTCCTCCTCCTCCTCCTCATCCTCCTCCCCCTGTTTCCCCTACTCGCAGCACCTCCTGCCTCCCTACCCCCATATCGCTCCTCTTCCACCTCCTCCTTTCCCACCTAAACAGCATTTACCTGCGACTCCCCCTCTTCCTCCTCCTCCGACTCATCATCAACATCATCATCATCATCATCATCATCATCATCATCATCATCATCATCATCATCATCATCATCATCATCATCATCATCATCATCATCATCATCAGCATCATCATCAACATCATCATCATCATCATCATCATCAGCATCATCATCATCATCATCATCATCATCATCATCATCATCATCATCATCATCATCATCATCATCATCATCATCATCATCATCATCATCATCATCATCATCATCATCATCATCATCATCATCATCATCATCATCATCATCATCATCATCATCATCATCATCATCATTAGCATCATCATCATCATCAGCATCATCATCATCATCATCATCATCATCAGCATCGTCATTATCATCATCAGCATCGTCATCATCATCATCAGCATCATCATCAGCTTCATCATCATCAGCAGCAGCATCATCTGCATCATCATTTTCCTCCTCATGCTACTCCTCATCCTTATCCTCCTCATCCCCTCCGCACCCTCCTGTTTTGCTATGGGCACATCTTCTCGAACATGCTGCTCTCCGCCGAAGCAGGGATGCGATAGTGGGACTTGGCAAGGTCCTACGAGGAGGAGGAGGAGGAGGAGGAGGAGGAGGAGGAGGAGGAGGAGGAGGCGGAGGGGGGAACGGGGAATAAGAGGATGGCGTAGGACGACTAGGACCAGGATGAGGAGCCAAAGGATTGTTTCGTGTGGGAAGGACTGGGCCCACCCACACCAAGACAGCGTCCCATCCGTGGATGAAGTCAAAATGGGGCGGCTCCGACGTCGAAGTGCCGACACGGCGCAACATGTGGTCGTATCTGTCTCCGCACTCTTGAGAGAATGCGAGAAGGGAACCAGATGTCAAAGACCCAATCAATAATAAAGTAACGAAGAAATTGAACTGCGATGTGTAATGACAAGAAGATGATTACCCCAGTGCGACCCTACCTAGAAGTTGGAGCCGCTAGGAAAGCAGCAGTAGTTGCTATGATATGCCATGCTATGCCATGCTATGCTGCGCTATGCTATGCTATGCTATGATATGCTATGCTGCGCTATGAGATGGTATGATATGATATGCTATGCTATGCTATGATATGCCATGATATGATATGCTATGCTATGCTATGATATGCTATGCTGTGCTATGCTATGCTAAGCAATGCTATGATATGCGATGCTATGCTATGCTAAGCTGCGCTATGCTATGATATGGTGTGTTATGATGTGCTATGCTATGCTATGATATGATATGATATGCTATGTTATGCGCTGCTGCGCTATGCTACGATATGTTATGGCATGGTTGGCTATGCTATGCTATGCTATGCTATGCTATGCTAATGCTAATGCAGCGCTGCGCTATGCTAAGCTAAGCTAAGCTGAGCTGAGCTAAGCTACCCCTCTAGACAGAGCCTAGGTAGGGAATTACACCCATGCTACTGCTATGCGGCGCTATGCTATGCTACGCTATGCTATGCTGTGTTCTGCTATGCTAAAGCTCAGCGAAGCTAAGATGAAGGTAAGATAAACCTGAGCTAAGATGAAACTCAGCTAAGCTAAGATGAAATACGCTAAGCTAAGATAAGATAAGCAACGCTAAGCTAAGGGAACGTCACTGGGGGAACCGCGGAGCGGATGCCGGGGGAACCGCCCGGGGCGGGTTCCACTGCCCAGCCCTTCAAGCACACCGAGTAAGAACCCTTCTAGGCAGAGCCTAGGTAGGGAATGATGCTGCTGATGATGATTGAGATTAGGATGATGGTGATGATGGGTAGGCTCTGAATATGATGTGCCCTTGTCGGTGTCCAGACATCTCGGCGCCTCGCTACAGGATAACGATCCTATCCCTTCCTTGGCGTGGACGCCATCTTAGGGATTGGCTAATACCCGAATCCCCACTCACAACGGAAGGGTGGCTGGTGCGCCAACTCACCCCGTCGGTTTCCTCTCACTCTCCCATTACGGTGGATTTGCTGCAAACTGTATTGACGATGAGCAATCGGAAAAGGGCGGTGCCGAAGCAGGCTGACTGGGGGCAATATTGAATACAGCAGGTTCCTGACTTGGCGACGTGCGCCCTGGCTTGGGCGTCTCATACCGCGTGAGCAGTTCAAACTTTAACCATCTCCGCTCTGGGAGGCCCCCAGCAAAGGCTGCCGACCCCGTCATTCGTATGGATTCCGCACCGTGGTCTGTTTCCCATGGGCCGGGGGGGCACCGAGCGAGCCCCCAGCGGGTGTTCAACCTGGAACGCCCGCGCCGGCGTCGCCGCAGCGACGAGGCGGCGCGCACCTCCCGAAGGCCCCCGTCGCTCAAATTCGATCCACGGACCCTTCCCAGGCACCATCCTGGCTGGTCCGGTGCCCAGCCGCTGCGACGAGAAGCGCACCCGAAGGCAACAAACAAAACAAACGAGCTGGGGCCCCAGAGAATCGGCCAAAAGGGGAGAGGATGAGGCCAAATCCGCTCAAAATCGGTGCCCGGACCCTTCCCGGGGTCCATCTGGGCCAATTTTGCACCCCGGCCGGATCCGTTTCTCACGGTCCTGGGGCCCGACAGCGGCCCCCTGGCCAAACCCCCCCCCCAAAAGAAAAAAATCTTCTCGAACCCCGCACTTCGGACCTGCCCCCCCCCGTCCTGCTCGCCAAAACCAATGCTGCGCCACCTCAGACCCCCAGCCAGCTCCCAGGGCCACCCAACCTCGATGCGAGGCGGGGAATTATCCGTATCCACCACCCGGGAGCCGACGTCCTGGTGACAGCGGGCGGTGCATTTGGATATTGTTGGGCCCCGCATTTGGAGGTCCGCGGAAATCCATCCTCCAGGCGGTAGTTGTGTAGAAACCCCTGCCTCGAACTCGCACACTCCAGCCGGCGTCACCGCCGCGTCGAGGCGGCTCGCGCCCGCCGGACGTCCCGCGGCTGCCCGCCCTCCCGCGGCCGCGGCAGCACCCGGGGCCCTGGAAGGCCTGGCCCTCCTCGGCCGCCCGCGCTCGCGGCCGCCCCGCATGGACCGTGGGGCCCAGCCCGCGCGGTCTGTGGAGACATGCGCTCGCGGTCTAAGCGCTATCCACGGACATCCTGGCGCCTCGAGCAAATCTACAATGTTCTCAAAGTTATCGGCCTCCTGGAGCCATTACCGGGCCTCGGGGCCGTCAAAGAACGGTTCGCGATGGGAAACACGTCCCAAGGAAATGGTCGAGAGGTCGGGGGCACGTGTCTTGAAAAAACAAGACGTCGGATCTATGGGTATTCCTCCCCTCCGACCTGACCAGCCACATGTACACCCCGACTTAGGAGTTAAGAGCATTGTAAGCTAAAGAAGTGGACTGCACTCGAAGCGCTTCCTTACGCGGCAATCCAAGTCCAGGTTTGCGCAGGTGCGACGAAAAGAAGCTTCAAGAAAGCGTTCAAGGTCCAGTCCAGATCCGTGGTCTTTTTAAAACAATGTCTGGAATCCACGATATCGTTGCTTGTCTTACGAACTTGGCAGGCTCAGGAAGCCCTGAGCCCAAAAACGTTGATGGGGGCACATATCTTACTTCCGCCGCTTTTCGCTGGCCTTCTGCCAGTTTCCGCCTGCGGAGGCGGCCTCGTTTTACTTCCGCCGCCTCCCGCTGGCCTGCCGCCGCCTTCCGCCGAGAAAAGGATGGCAGCTCCTTCGGTCCGTCGGTCCTCGACGGCAAGGCCTTTTTCCGGAACGATCCACGTGCATACGAACATGGGCCCAAGGGATACGCCGTAAACTGCAATCCTTGCGCAGGCACACATACTGTCGGGAAGACGTAAGACTCCCGTTGGAGGGACTCGGGTTGGCCAGACGGGGCCGTGAGGAAAATGACGAGACCCACTCTGAAATTTGACGCGAACTCCCGCTGCTGACATCCCACGAGAGAAGTGGACCGTCAAACCCAAGACGGGCTCGTCAAAAAAACGCTGTCAAATCAGAGATCGGACGTACTCGAATATTAGGTTTCCCCGATTCCGCACAGCGTCCCAAATACGCAACACCAGGCGCCAGGCGCAAAACCCCAAGCGGCGGCCACGCCAGAAGGGGGGAGGCGAGGGGCGGAGCGCGCAAGTCGCAAGGCGGATCCGGGCGCCGCCTGGCCCGTCCCTGGAAATGCGCCCCTCCTCCTCATCCTGTTCCTCCACCTTCTCCTCCTCATCCTCGCCCCTCGCTCCTCGTTCGTCGTCGTCCTCCTCCTCCTCCTCCTCCTCCTCTTCCTCCTCCTCCTCATCATCATCACAACCACCATCACGACCACCACCACCAATCACATCGCCATCGCTATCACCAGCAACATCATCATCGTCATCATCATCATCATCATCATCATCGTCATCATCATCATCATCATCATCCGCATCAGCATCATTTCCGTCCTCATCATCAAGATTAACATCGACATCAGCACCATCATCGCCAACATTATCATCAGTAACATCATCATCCGAATCAGCATCATCAGCAGCATCAACATCAGCCGCATCATCATCAGCAGCAACAGCATCAACATCATCAGCGTCAACGTGGTCATCATCATATCAGCCACCGTTGACTCCAACTAGGGAAAGGGTGATGACGATGATGATGACGATGATGATGACGCTGAAAACGATCCGGTTTTCCACGCGCGCAAACTCCAGACCACTGCACTGTACCGTACTGGGCCGCGTGGCCCAGCAGCTGCGTCAGGGGAGCAGCGCGCCGACCACGCCAATCTCGCGGACGTTTCCGCGCCGCGCTCTGTTGGGGCGTCTACTTGCACGTGTTACCAAGGAGCCGAGTCAGCTTCGTGACGTTGTTTTCCCTGAGGCATAGGTATAGGCATAGGCATAGGCATCAGCGTAGGCATAGGAGTTGGGGGGGAGGCATAGGCATAGGCATAGGCATGGGCATAGGCATAACCATGGGAACTAGGGGGGCATAGACGTATCAGCCAGCGTTGACTCCAAATAGAAGGTGGGTGATTATGGTGATGATGACGATGATGATGACGCTGAGGACGATCCGGTTTCCCACGCGCGCAAACTCCAGTCCACTGCACTGCACCGTACTGGGCCGCGTGGCCCAGCAGCTGCGTCAGGGGAGCAGCGCGCCGACCACGCCTCCCTCGCGGGCGTTTCCGCGCCGCGCTCTGTTGGGGCGTCTTCTGGCACGTGTTACCAAGGAGCCGGGTCAGCTTCGGGACGATGCTTTCCCCTACGGCATCGGGATAAGCATAGGCATAGGCATAGGCATAGGCGTAGGCATAGGAGTTACGGGGGAAGCACAGGCATTGGCATAGGCATAGGCATAGCCGTAGAAACTAGGGGGGTATAGGAATTCGGGGGGGCAACGGACCTAATAGTAGGGTTTCAATTAGAACTCCTATAGGGCGAGCCTATTTGGAGAACAAGCAGCAGCGTCACCATCCGCATCATCATCAACATCATCATCATCACCATCATCATCATCATCATCATCAGCAGCATCATCCTCATCATCATTATCAGCATCATCATCAGCATCATCATCGTCAGCA